CGCTCCAGTGCTTATAGTTGTCGCTAGGTGGTCCACGGCACCTGGATGTATTTTTACTTCTGATGTTCTTTATACTACCTTGAATACTTGATGAATAGATCGGAATTTTTCTTGCAAAAAAGAAAAATAAATAAATAGGCTCTCTGTTAACATATGAAATATGTAGTGAATGACGAGATGTGCCACGTAAATAAGCTCAAGATCTTTTCTAACTCTATTTGTTAATATAAAAAACTTCTTGGTTGACCAAACTAAGTTATAGTAATTGCATCCATCGTGGATATTTTGCATACATTTTAATATGCAATTTAAGCAAGCCTGAGGTCTCAAAGTGAAATTTTTGAGAGAAGAGGCCATTGGATAGTAAGATGACATATATTATTACTGAAAGACATGTGTGGAACATGGATCATTGAGTCTCGTGTGCCAATTCGCTCAATTATTATATTCAAAATTGGTGAAAAATCCTGAAACTATTTGGATACTAGAATGGTATAGTGTTATACTTATGTGATAACTTATTGAAAACACTAGACCATGCAAACTAGATGAACAGAACATCATGAAGACAAACATCACACATGCAATAGTAGTCATAATAAAAGATGGATCAGATCACGATATGTGTACTAATCGGTTGCAGATGTAGTGGTGGCACCTGGTCCAGAGGCAATGTTGTTTGAGGACAACATTGATAAAGACCGGACCACACAAACATTGGTGATAACGGCAGGCTTGACCTTGGGGCTAGTCGGCCTATAGTGAAGAACGCGAGAAGTAACGTAAAATGATTTCCAAAAACCTAATTCACCCTCTCCTGGTGAAGAATGCTAGTGACAAGAGAAGGCAAACCCTAACTTGTTTTAGTGCTTTTTTTTTGCGGATGTTTCAATTTATCCTTGGCGGTGGCTTCAGCTAGTGGGGATTCTATGGACAAGCTGTGGTGTCAGCTGACCCCACAACTTTGATAAAAAGGAGACTAAAATTAATGTACAGTCACCGTACATTTTGAAGAAAATAATTCTATTTTGTTTTAGGAATGACCTCAGAGGTTCATTCGCGCTGGCTAGCTGCTCCTTGTCCTTGGTTGGGCCATCTACGAACTAGGAACTGGATATATGGCGCATGCATCAATCAATTTACGAAAAACTATATCCCACACCATGTGGTCATCGTCTACCACAGAGGCCACATAGGGCCGATTTTCGTGTTTTGACCATTTTGCTTAAGTTTAGCCAAATCTGACCCTCATTCGAAAATATTTTAGAATCTGACCCTTTTTCTATCGCCATTGTTTATGACGGTAGAGTTTAACTACCTATCGCCATAGTCAATAGCAGTAGAAATTGGTCAACATTTAAATGGGGTTTATACATGGCAGAAGCCTACCGCCATCCCGCCATTGCATCTGGCGGTAGCTACTTTCCACTACACACGGCCGGCCGCTGCGCTAATGCATGTGCTAATCACCCCAGCATATGGATTAGCATGTGCACTAGTTAGCATGCTATTGAACACTAGTACTCCGATCCTGCACTTGTCTGGCAACAATCCTGCACTAGCACACTATGCGATATGCACATGCGATGCGTTAGTCAAATGTATGCACGTAAATCAAAGGACCAACTGTTTCCCTCCCTATATATCATGCACTTAGAAAAAAGCCTTCTACAATCAAAAATTAATTCTATGGGTTAGTCATGATAGGAAAGAAAGAAAGAAAGAAAGAAATTAAGTTATTGTGCACTTTGCACTTGAGTGACAAGTTAAGTACATTTCATATTTAATTGGCTTGAAAGCTATCATATTTCAAAATATTATAAGATATTATATATGGCTAATGTCATATATTCTTTAATTTTAATATGATGGTTGCTAGAAACAAAATATTAAGAGTTTTAATATGATGGGTTAATCATGATTTTAATATAAGAGTTTTACATGATGGTTGGTACAAACAAAATATTAAAATTTGGATTTAAATCGGCTCCAGCAGCGGCGAGTGGCATTTGCAGCGTGGCAGAGTCTCCCATAACTTTACCTCACGGTTGTGCAACATGATCCCGGACGTCGGGTTGCCGGCGCCGTGGCGCCCCCGACGCCGCTGCTACGACTGGTCCTCCTCGTTACCGAAGGAGATGACTATCTTCTCCTTATCGGAGGAGCTCGCTGCCGTGGATGCGGATGGTCCAGGTGAGCAAGGGCGGCGATGTCATGATCCGCCTGACGACGAACTGCCGTCGTGGCCGCCGGTCGGCGCGGAGAACTAGACTTTGGCATCGCCACTCAGCTAGGAAAGGAGGAAGGGATCGAAGAGGAGGAAGGGCTCGGAGAGGAGGAAGGGCTCGAGGAGGAGGAGGACAATGCGGTTCTGGACGGCGCACACTCTTCTTCTTCTTCCTCTGGCCGCCTTCAAGCCTAGGCCGAGCCGCCTGCATCCGTCGCCCGTGGCCGCCTCAGTGCCCCGCCCTCCCTAGACCTCCTCCCACTGCCGGGCTTGTCGCCGCCCCCGACCATCCCTATAGAGCAGCTGAACTACCCAACTTCTTCGGTGAACCTGCACTCCAAGCACCCCTAAGATAGACCCAGAGGCTTCTGCTCCCTGGTGAGCACCTGCACCCCCGGCATCCCTAAGATAGACCTAGAGATTGTTGGTTCCCGGCAAGCCGACGTCTGTTGTATCTCTGCACGCCTATTTCTTCCCAAACAGAAATCGACTCACCCTTAAATAATATTCAGGCGACTGGCATGTAGCTAAACTGTAAATTAACACCGGACCTCGTCGTGTTGGTCTCCGACTAAATTGCGTGTTAAACATGGCAAGTCCATGTACCCATATATATACTAGAAAAAAATCAATAAAAACATGCAAGTTGCACCCATTGCAAAACAATAAATCTCTGTTCTATTTTGTTCGCTAAGTTATGAGAGTTCTGGAGAGAGAGAGAGAGTGAGAGTGAGAGAGAGAGAGAGAGAGAGAGAGAGAGAGAGAGAGAGAGAGAGAGAGCTCTTCCGTTCCGTGAAGATAGAATCGATCCAGGTTCACATAGGTATCGTACTCTACGCGGCTACACATACGTGCACGTACTTGGTCCAGCAAAATCAATCAAGCACTTTGCTTGCTTGCTTAGCTTTCACACACGCATGATGCTTTTGGAGGATTCAAGTTCAAATCCAGCCTGTTCGACAGTACTACCGTTTGCTATATAGCTGCGTAGTACATGACCACGGGTGATTAACACATGCATTAGCGCTAGCGGCCGGCCGTGTGTAATGGAAAAAGGAGTTACCGCCGGATGCCATGGCGGGATGGTATTGAAGGCTACCGCCCCCGCCTTTAACGGTAGGCTCTGCCATGTATAAAACCTGTCTGGTCGTTGATCAACTTCTACCGCTATTGATCATGGCGGTACGTAGTTAAACCCTACTGCCACGGACAATGATGAAAGACAAAATGATCAGATCTTAATTTATTTTCAGAAAAGAGTCAGATCTGGATAAATTTTAGCAAAAAGGTCAAGACATTAAAAACCGGCTGCCACATAGCGCGACATTCTAGATGATAATAATGTGGCAGATCAAGACAAGCAACTTTTTTCGGAAAAAGGAAACTGCCGGTCTTTTGACGATTCAACACTCCGGCGGCACTGTCCGAGGTTGGTTGATTCGAGGGCCGGTCACATGCTGAAAGTTCCACTGGCGTATACTACTACTGTCACTTCATTCATTGACTATAATAATGCAGGCACAGCTTTTCCTTCCTAGAAAAAACGAAGAAGGGAACCTGCGGCGTACTACGTGTCGCTCTTGTATTGCCAACAGACGCCTCTTAAAAGTTACACCAATCTTATTTCAAAAAAAAGTTACACAAATCTTAAAGTCACTTAAAAAGGGCATTCTTATACATTCACAATAATAAATTCTAACCTCCTTTCTCCCAACGGATCAAATAGAAGATCAGAATGATTGAATCTTTTTTATTAAAGGGGTAATTTCTATTCTCCACATTGAATTTCATTCAAATCAGAATCTTTAAGTGTGTGCGTGTGTGCGGGTGTAGGGGGAGGGGGGCGAATCGAAGCAAAATTGCCGTGCGGAGAGCTAGAGCACCCTTATTTCTCTCCTGCACATGCTCCAATCTTCTCGAAGTAGTTAGATTCCGGTTTGATCCCATTACATCCCTAATATACTGCTAGC